CTGGTCCGTAAACTCCATTCCTCCGCCTAGCTGCTTATAATGTCGTCTGCGACCGATCACTTCAACACTGATTTCCCCACTACGTGCAAGAAAATACCACGCTATTCGGGAGAACTCGCGAGGCAAATGGCCGACCGTTTTTCGTTGCCCTTCACTACTTTCACAGCTTGTTCCAGTTTGGCCATGGGGTTGTTAAACTCTCATGTAGCAACAAGTTTTTCTCCGATCGATGGCTTCCATACGTCTTTACAAACATGATATCCACGCACAGCTGATGTGAAAGCGAACGTTTCCATGTTGTTTACTGATCGCGGTCTACTACGTGACTCGGCCCAGGCTTTCTGTAATTTTTCTTTTTTTTTTTGGCTAGTCAAAGAAGAGTGCATTCGTAATGCGATGCTCAGTTACACAACTAAGCGGAATTCCTCGGGCTACAACATGCTCTTGTTTTTTGCGTGAAAATTGATTCCACGTATAGTTGAAATCAAAAATGAACTGAGATTAAAAATAACTGCAACATATGCCATGTTTGCCCCATTAGTGTAATCGCTTTAGTTTGTGATAATACTACAGAAGTATCAACTGCAAGGCACGATTAATTCTCCCTGGAAATTTGAGCTCGGTGTTTTAACCTAGAAAGTCACTGATTATTAAAGCCAATTACTCTTTCGCTATCTATAAATCCTTAGAGTGGCAGGGGTAATTTTAGTTGCAGAACGCCAAAAAAAAATGCACTGGATGCTTTCGGTTAGTTTCACTCATGTTTGCTTGCAGCATTATATTGTATTTGGTTCTTTCCAGCGGATAAAAGCTTTCGCAAGCAAAAATGAATGATACCAACCGCAAGCAAAGAGTGCATTCAGCGTTAGGCGTTTTTGTATTCCGCCTTCGGCGATCTGAAAAATACGCCTGCCGACCTAAGGCGCCATCCACACTACGCTGGGGAATTTTGAAAACGCAACAATTAGCGGTCATTTGGATTTGTGTTTGAGGAAAATTAAGGCAGTGAAATCACATGATTATCTCGACGTCATCGTTTTCGAAAAGCTCTGTTTTCAAAATGTTCCCACTAAATCGCAAAGCCGGCGTTTTCATGTTCTTCAGGTTTGAAGAGGGCTTTCGTAAGTTCCGTTTTCGTGACGGATTATAGTGGACGGTAGACCTAACTGTAGAAATAATGCTGCGTTTTCAGATTTCTCAGGCGTAGTGTGGGCGGGGCCTAAGAGCTATAACATTCAGTAACCAATGACGTCAGCAGAGATTTGTTTTTACCTACACTTGTATGGATGGTTGCTCACTCAGTTTGAAGTAATAAATACCGTTTTAGTTACGGGTGAATTCTCTCGATAAATTTGACAGAAAATGTAATTTGTATACAATTTTGTATCAGAAAGGAGATTAAAAACCAAAAAAAAACAAAATACACGCAATAATTGCCTTCTCTAATTATCAGGAGCCATTTTTTGTCCGATGATGGCTTCTGCTGTCATAAATGTTGTCCAAATTTTGGTATACCATTCAAATGATTGTTTGAATAAAAACTTTATCTATTTTTCTCTATGTTTTGTTTTTGTCTTTTTTTTTTCAGGTGAGAGGCGGACCAAGCGGTCCGGCGGATATGATTTTTGTTCGAGTAGCGACCAATGGAGGCGGGACTCCTGTTTGAGAAGAGGTCGTTCCTATAGCCTGAATTATCAATGGAAATACCGAAGATATTGTTACTATATTTACGTTACAACGTGTTATTCTACAGGCTGGTTTTGGCGCCGTCGCCGTGTATGTAAATGTTATCAAGTTTGTAAATGCATTCGCATTAGAACTAACACTCGCTGTTGTTCTGTGACTTGTCATTTTGAACATCCCATAAAATAATATGATTCCTCTCTCCTACCCCAAATCTCACATTCAATGTTGTGCAATACAAGACAAGCAGTGCTCATAGAAGTGACCTTCACAATTGTAAATCTTCAACGTTAACTGGAGCTGAGGGAGAAAAGAAAGTGTTATTTGCTTAACAACTGCCTTCTAGAGCATCCGGTTGTTTCGGCTCTTGTAGAAAGGTGGATGCTCCTACAGGCTAGTTTAAAACTCGACGCTTTACTAGATTTTTTTACTTTGTTTAGATAACGAAAAGCATCTAACAGTTTCTGTAATAGTACAAAATGTGCCAAATCTTTCCGGTGATGGTTAAGGATTAGACTTTCCCTTCTGCTTAAGTTGACCTTAGAGTGCAAATAAGGTTCATTAAATAATCTCACTTGCTGTAGAAATCAATTTTGAGGGTCAATAAATGTTACAATTTTGTTTAAGTTACTAGTCATTGTTGGTATTTCACTCGTGCGAAAACAAATTAAAGCAAGTCCCTTTTTCGTAACTGAACAGTGCTCGGAATTAAATGTAAAAATAGATTTTAAATTGGCTTTCTAATATTAAAGAGAAACAATTTTGTTTGCAGCGATGCTGCATTGAATAATACACATACACATGGCATAGAATAAGG